AGTTTGTATAGTAGTTTATAAAATGCTAAAATGAATAATGAAAAAAAAAGAAAGATAAACAGATACTTGAAAAAAAATTAAAAAAAATGTTAAATGAAGATGGGAAATATTAAATGCATAATAAATAAAATGCTAAATGCAGTTTGAAATTTACTTAATGTTTATTTCGAATTTGTGAATGGAGGAGATTTTCGGAATGAATTTTATAAAAAATGTGAATCAAATGTTTAGTTGAACTTGTAATTTAGTTCAAATAAGTTTTGTCACTAGAGACCTATATCCTAAGGCCCCTTTCAAATACTACAAAATTCTAAACTCTCGAAATAATGAAAGTTAAAATTATTGAAGAAACCGTCTCTCTTTTTTTACATAAGAAATAACACATGAAATACTTTGGCTCTCCAATATGGACATACGGTAAAAGTATGTAAATATGTATATCTAATCTATTTATTATTATTATTATTATTATTATTATTATTATTATTATTATTATTATTATTATTATTATTATTATTATTATTATTATTATTATTATTATTATTATTATTATTATTATTATCCCTTAAATAAATATCGTATTCATATATTACTTTATTTTGAACAAAGAGTAATAAAGTGTACATTCTTTTATGTCCTAGAAGAATGTATATGTTAAAAGTAAAATAAAGTATTATGATACTAAAGTAGACAATGCGTACTCCCTTTTCTTTATTAAAAAAATTAAAAATCATATATTAGAAAATAACATAGAAATAAAAGAAAAAGATACATTAACAAACTTTAAACAAGTGCACTATGCTACGTACGAGTTATTGATGGTTTAAGAATTAATGTGACATACTTGGAAAATTATAATGAAAAAGGTTATTCCAAAATTGAAATTTTTCAGATCGAAACCGCCGAAAATAAAAACATTTCATTTCAACTTTTACCCCTACCATGTATTTATTGCCATCGAAATTAGAATACATGAGTTTTAGAATTCACTCGTATAATATATAATGTTGTCAACAAGAGTGGGGAATGAATATGTGGCCAAATTTGTCCTTTAAAGTGAACACTTGCCCATGTTAAGTTAGAGTATGGTTTTGCATATCTAATACTTCCTCTGTACTGTTCCATACTATCTGTCTCTTTTGAGAATTTTTTTTTTCCATATTATCTGTCGTTTTACAATTCCAATGCTGCATTAATTGCTTATTTTTCAATTTTACCATTATTAACACTATAGACTCTTCCTGCATTAATTAATAAACAAGGGTATTTTGGTCCATCAATATTTATTTTCCTAAAATGAAGACATATTTATTGAGATTCTTAAGATTTGTGTCAAGGTGAAAAACGACACATATTAGGAATGGATGGAGTATTTCTCTATAAATATGCAAAATAATGACGCTGAATAACCCATTAAATAAGACCGACTCCACTTGAACGAACGGCGGTTCAATGAAACTACATAACAACTTTTTTCAGCTGACGACTATTTTTTTCCATGAAAAGGGAAAAACATTTTTCCAATGACTAACTTTAGAGATGTATATGATTAACCAACAGTACAATCCATACAGTGGCGTCAGGGAGCATACTCTTTCGACATTTCTCAAATCCCTATTATTTTATATAATTATATGTAATAGCATTATTAACCCTCTTGTTATTTTTTTTCTACTATATTTGGTTCGTCGAACTCAAAATCCTGGCTCCGCTGCTAATTGCATAAACAATGTTTTGCTCAATTTTCATTTCACTTTTGTGTTTGTTAAGGTTCTTGAAAAAAATCCGAAACAACTTTAAACACAATTTGACCGCGCTACAGCGTAAACAAATATTACTTCCATTCTCAAATTACTCCCTCAAAATATATCTTCCGAAAATAAAATTTGATTGAAAATAACTCCCAAATTCCAACCGTAATAATCATCTCGATGAAAATAACTCTTGAAAGTCGCGACATGTAGGAATATTCTCTAGAATCAAAATAGATCCGGTTTTTTTCAAGGACTCGGTTCTCCATCCAAGTTTGAGCCAATGTATGTATCACTAGAAACAACCAAATGTTGAAACTTAGGCTGACCACGCTCACAACTCATAAATCCTGTGTTTGTGTGCATGCAAATTAATAGCTACTATATTTGGCAACTTTTTGTCGCCACGTGCAACAATTAACAAATTCGAACGAAATTAATAAGGGATTATTTTGTAGACCTCATCATTTCCAAATTGTATACAACTAACTACCAAGTATATTACATTCTAGGAGAAATCCCCTTTATTTCGAAAATATTTTGACATACCCCCCTGGGCTACCCTGAAGTTCCTAAAATACCCTTCTAAAATCAGTTTTAAACCCTAGCCACTCACGGTCTCTCTCCCAGATTCAAAACCCCGCCTCCACAAATCTCCCACCGGCGAAATTGCTTCCCAGAGCCATAACTCTCTCTCCGGTGGTCGGAATTCGATGGTTTAACTACCGTTGGATTCCTCTCGTCGAGCTCCTTCTTTTGGTGGTGATTTCATTCAGTTTTGAGCGCTGATCTGTTTCTGCAATTTTTTTTCATTCGAGGACGGTGGTCTTGCCGGAGCTTAATTTTGTGTTCCACCCATCGAAATTTGACGGGTCACCCACCGTTGGATTCCTCTCGTCGTGATCTATATTTTGATGGTAATTTCGTTTATTTTTATATTTTCAGATTTATTTCTATATTTTTTTGCATTTGTGGACGCGCGGAACCGTGGGTGGTTATTTGCGGCGTCTTGGGTTTTGGTAGGAGGCGAGGGGGTGAGGAGTCACTGTCTGTTTGATTTAAAATCTATAGCATTTCCCAGCAATAACTTCTCTCTCTATCTCTCGATCTCTTAGTGTTTGTTGATTTTTGAGTGTTTTGATGTTTTTCTTCAAATTTTGTTGATTTGCACTAAAGTTATTTCTTTTTGTTTTGATTTTGCAATTGCAGCTTAATGAAGGCCATTGATCCTTTCCTTGAAGGTGTCAAATTTTTTTTTTGAAGTTACATCTGATTTGTTCAACAGACTGTATACATTACTGTACATTACTATACACTACTATAGTAACATGTAGTTATATATGCGTATATTTGTGTATTTTCGATTTGTATTTTATTGGTTCTGATGTGATTTATAATAAAAATATTGAAATTTGTAAATTTTTGTTGGGGTTTTATGAATTTATTTTGTATAAGTCAGTATTCGTGTGTGTATACAATTGATCGACTAAAAACATGGGGGAAAAAAACGAACATAACTATGAATTACTATAGTCTATAGGTACTATAGTTACATGTAGTTATTTACAGTACTGTAAGCATATTGTTTTGAAAATTAAAAAGGAAAAATTAAAAAAAAAATTAAAAAAAATTATTATTTTTAATTTAAAAAAATTAAAAAATTAAAAAAAATATATATATATATATATATTTAACAAACAGGTTTAAAAAAAAATAATAATAATAAATAAATCAGCGAAAATGATAAATGCGGGACCATATATGCTGATGCAGTTTGGCCGAAAATTGCATATAAGGGTAATATAGTACTTTCGCTTCTCCAGGAGGGTATCTCAAAGGATGATTTGGGCTTGGGTTTATCCCTAGTTTATTTGGTGGCTAGGGTATGTAAAATAACCCCAATTAATAATCAATATATTAATTATTAATATACTAAGGCCTCGTTTGCTTGTAGCTATTAACCTCTATTAACTAAATAGTAGGGGTTAGTAAGATGTTTGGTTGAAGAGATTCGTATTTAGTCAAGCCCGCTATTACACTTAAAGCCCGCAATTAAGTGCTATTATTTGGTTAAATTAGTAGCACCCCTCCCCCTGCGATTAATATTGTAGGGGGTGATTAAAAGAGGAAAATACAATTTTATCCTTAAAACAATATCTTAACTTTTTTAATTAAAATTCTTTTTAGACAATTCACATTAAATACCAGAATTTAACAAATTTAATACAAGATTTAATCTAACGAATCAAACATCTTACTGACTAAATAATTAATTAGTCAGTGAGATATTAATCCAATCTCACCTAATTCAATGTAATCCGATATAGGTAAGCAAACGAGGCCTAAAAGACAAATTGTTTTGAGTTCCAATCTCTCTCGATATGTTTAGGTTACACTTTGAAGATAGATTTTCATTTCATTTCAAGAGGGTGATATTTTAGAAAAATATTTCGAGAACGAAAAAAAAAAAAAAAAACTTTATCGGGTACTATTTTTTTTTTTTTCTCTAACCGGTCAAATCATGTATAAGAGGGTGTGAATATGTTGCGGAGTTCGGAGGCAACGGCCCTGAAAATATTTTTGGGTTATTTCGAAAAAATAATAAATTTATAAAAAAATATTATTAATTAGAATATAATGTGTGCAAAATTGACCATTAGATCTAGCTCCTAAATTATTAGGGTAATTTGTTAAAACTTTCAAAGATAAAATATTATTGGGCGTATCGTTTGGTATTCATTGGATCAATTTCACTAAATTATAATATATTCAACAACACAACTAATTAGATGTAGAAATCTACCCGATATATTTCACCATCAGTTAAAATGTTTTAGAACTAACCGGTCTAACTTTCGACAATTATAATAATTTGTTTTACAAGAACCTAGCTAATTATATAATTGGACAAAACAAATACAATATCGAAGAATATGTGGCTAAACAAATGAAAAAAGATCGACTTCCATCAACGGTTTTGTAAATGCTACACCCGGTGAAATGCACCGAATCATCCTGCACCATTAATCTACACATAATAACACACACATCCATGTATATGTGTGGTGGTTATTTGACTAGATCTACGGTGCAAAACAACCCAATGTTTTTCTCCAGGTGTAGTCCGTCGACATAACCAAATAAGATTATGCAATTTTACGAGAACCTAATTATATAAATGGACTACATCGATTCCGATAAACAGTTTTCCAATAAACAAACGTAGTATACTTCTCTTTCCTTCAAAAATTTATCATGAGCCGAATGCAAAAGGTTAATATTTTAACTAGGTATCGAATAGAACTCGTTTTTATGATTAATCTTGCCAGCCAAACAAGGCCTCATAAGTCATAATGTAACTATACAACAAGGGAGCAATTTCGACATCATTTTGCACCAGCAGATCAAGGAGAATTGGAAACTTCAGTTATGAATAATATATCGTATTCTAATACGAAGAATATGATCGGATTATTCCAGCTTCTGTAGAGCTGATAAGATAACACGTTTCTTTCAGAAACCTAACTTTCGAATTAAATCTTTGTCTTCCTAAATTATCCCGCCATTTGTCTTCCGCATAACCTGGAAATCTGGCTGAATCCTGCATTATAGAATGTACAACAAACAAGTGAATTGTGAAACTAAAATGCATCTTTTTCGGTGACACTGATTTTCCGAAACATAATTTCAAATGCATATATTTATAGTTAGATTACAATTTTACGATGATTGTATGAAAGAGAAATTCCTTCCGCCTAGAAAATATCATGACATAATTTCATATGCATGTTGCAATAAAAATATATAAAAAAAAAAAAAAAAAAAAACTCGTAAATGGCCATCGAATAGACTAACGCCTCTTAATGGTACAGAAAAAAAAAATTGAAAAATTGATTCTTCACCTCAAATTACGTCCCGTGCAGAATCTATCGTATATGGGATTTAAATTTAGTTCCAGTATCTTACATAAGAAACTGATATTACTACCTCAGAAGCGCCTCGATCTCTGTTGTGGTGGATAACCAGTCATCCCCATTCCAGGGTCTTTTCTTCTCCCCTGTAATAAAATAGAAAATATTGCATATTTTTACGAAAGAAAAAATAAATAAAATAAATAAAAAATCAGCAGGAAAAATATCATCTGAACAGACAGAAAACCTGCTGCTGTTGTTGAGGCTGAGGAGCAACACCTCGCTGCATCGGCACGCCGCCTGGATTTACTCCACCGCCCATTGCCGCCTGAGAAGCAAGATTATAAGCCGGAATGCCAGGCGGCGGTTGAGTCCTTTGCATGCCAACCATAGCCATCGGCCGAGGCATCGACCTATTTTGCATTACATGTTGGCCCGCCATTCCCCCCGGCATATTATTTCCAGATGATATCTAATTACAGCAAACCAAAAATACAATTACGGGTAATTAAAACAAAATGTCGTAAAGACTTAGAATTATGCCACGTGTCTGAACATTTTTCTTTAAATATTTTTTTTGTGATGCTCGTGTGTTCAGTACGTATCTGGACTTTAAAGTTGAACATTTTATATTCAAGTATAGGAAATAATCGGTCTGTTATTGACCAATGAAAGCGTCCAGAAGTAGTAACTTCTTAAGCTGAAATTAATAAATTTCTAGGATGGTGAAAATGTCGAGAATCGATGACTGATTCTCACCATTTAAAACACACAAAAGAAAATCTTACGCAGAAAATCACGTTAAATGTCTAAAAGCTCGTAGCCCATTAAATGTAAAAGACGTTGCATATACAGCAAAACAATGATAAGTCTGTTTGTGGTATATAAATTAAATTATTTAGTAACGAAATAAAGGTTGAAACAAAGTGTGACCACGGATTTAACGAAACATTATAGATTATTATCTTAATTTTACGAAACTTGAAAAGCATGAAAAAGCTGTTTATTTGGGCAAAACCATCAATCATCCTAACATTCTTAGATATATCGTAACGTCATATTTTGTAGCTTGTATAATTTGGAGAAAAAAGAATCCCGATAAACAAAAGTACATAACATGCATTGGTTTATACTTGTTTATGATATTTTAATTTTTCATTTTTCGATAAGTACCGCCCAGTACTGTATGTGTGATTCTGACTCATCACATACGTCTCGCAAAGACTGCTAAACCCAACACGAACTTTCTCCAAGTCTCCTATCTCCAGTCCATAAATTGCTACCGCCAGGCACTACGAAATAGAGGTCTTTCTATCGCCTACCGTATATCTATGCATACTTTTCACAATACCATTTTAGAATAGGAAAAACAGGGTTAGATTAGAAATAATATTATTATATAAGGCTCCGTTTGGTTGGCAAGATAAGATTAGCCAAGATAAGATTAAATAATCTAATGAAACCCAATTATTATATTGGATCTTGAAATGTTCAACAAAAAAAAAAAACTCATTAGAAGGCAAGATAAGGCAAGATAAGCCATGATTATATAATTTTGGCGGGTCGACCGACAATTAATTGAGGATACCAAACATCAAATTAAGTCCAACTATTTAGTTAATCATGGTTTATCTTGGCAACCAAATGGGGCCTAAGTGCATTATATTATATAGATTAGATAGAAATTACCTAACGACATAGATTCCTTACGTAAATAAAATCCTAAATATATTCTAACAAGCATAATAATTTTAGTAGCACATATAGTATGCACCATCAACAAGCAAAATCTGTCCGTAAGGAAATAAGGGTGCGAGAGAAAATGATTTGAACGAGGCTTTAGAGATAGTCGTTTGGTCAAACGTCATGACCAAGGTGATATAACCAATTACAGAAAAAAGAAGACCGCCTTTCCCCGAATAAAGCTGGGTAAAATGACACATAAAGGGGAAGCAATCTTTACGGAGATGTTAAATCGATTATTTTAGAAAGTAAAGACTTGGCTTTATTGATTTGATACTAGAAAGGAATATGGGCACTAAAATTAATTCCCAAATCTATTAGACGAATAATTCAAAGACATTGATCACACCTTGTAAAGAAAAACGGAAGATACGATAAACGGATGCAAAACCCATGCCTAATGAAGTAATCGTTAATCATGCAATAAGTAAAAAATCTATGTTTGCACGTTGTATAGGTTTCAGAAAGACTTATTGAACATCTCAAGTATTTTCCACATAATGTCGAAAAAGTTTACGATCCCATGCAGGTTTTGAACATTTCCTCTCTCTGCACGACTGCATCGAAAACTCATTTTGGCATTAAGGTGTGTCCCAACTCAGGTTTGGGGTTGGATCTAAGTATTGTTCAAATAAACTGGCCTCTATTACCTGGAAATATGATATTCCACGAGTTTTATGTTATTCGCTTGTCCCCTCAAGATTGTTAATATTTATTTTAAAGGCTACGAGTCTAAGTTGACAATACAATAAGGGGGGTAAGAAGGTAATTCTAAACACACGAGGTTCCGTTCAAATATTGCACAAACTGAGAGTCGTCACCAAAGGGATTAGCCAATATTATTTTTTAAATAGACCGGGCCAACAAATCAAACAAAAAATAATAATAAAAAAAAAATTAGAAAATTGTACCGGTTGAGAGGGTTGGAGACTAATTGTTCCTTCAATATCAGTGGCTGTGTCCACTGGCCGAGTTGGGTAGTTCACAACTTTATCTCCTGGTTGTGGCGGTACAAGTGAACTGACATAATTCATCGGTTATTAATTATACCAGAAATTACTGAATGGGCATTCATTATTAAATATGAAGCGCTTAACGAAAGTAAATTATGAGATCAAATAAAAAATGCTACAACAAACGAATGTAACTCCATACTTGCAACCCGCCAAAGGTTCATGGCGAAAATACCTGCAAATTAGAGAGGGGAATGGAAAATTAAAAGATTGCAATTCGATGAGTTACGACAGTACAAAACCCTTTATGCTTAACTCATTACATTAACGGTCATACTAAACTAACACAAAGCCACTATCAAAATTTAACAGCATAGCGATATTTTATTGAATTACGTGAACCTATAATCAAGAGTCTCACTGAACTTTCCAGAAAGTAGAAACCAATATTTTTTGGGCATACTTAATTAGTAGTTTTTCAAGTGAACAAAGATCATATTTATTCATAAGTGAATGTAAAGATCATCCAAGTGGGAATGCATGTCAGATACAATGACGATTGACAAGCTTATAGAGGAGGAAAAGGTCAACTATACATACTCATGGTCAAGAGCTTCGGCGGCTGTTAATCTTTTTTTCGGATCATACCTGCAAATAGAATGAGCCATCAATTGCACGTCCATATATTCATCTCAAAACAACCATGTGCAGAAGAAAAATGTATCTACTTGCGCAGCTTTCTTATATAACAAAACATAAGGATATTTTAGATTGTATAGGTACCAAATAAATTGAAATATTTACTACAATAAATAAATCGAGACACAGTAATGTCATGACTAATTACTTTTGAGATATTAGATGCAGTAACATACTAGTGGATGGATGTTAGAAAACCCATTGCTCAACACATGCATAGTAATAAAACAGATGTCAAGATCGATGCTTTCAAGAAATGCAGAATAAAGACATACTCGAGCATCTTCGAGAGGAGGTCATAAGCTGCATTTTTGGGAGAGAGGTGAATTACATTGTAAAGTCCAGCATTATTGCTGCATCAATAGAAGAAAAAAAATAATTAATAAAATGACATACATACTAGCACCGGAACATTAATAGCAGTTAACAGACAACCTACTGATATTAAAAAAAAAAATTAAATAAGAAAAGAATATAACTAACTATGTGTGCCCTTGAATATGTTGCAAATCAGTCTGCCAATGTGGAAGATGCACGAGCATTGGCCACTTTTCCGGTGTGGGATGACCTGATAGGAACTAACATTTGTCATCATTTGTTCGCATAAAAACTACAAAGAAGGGATTCATCAAAAGAACATTCTTACCTAGAACCTTAAATATTTTGTCCAGTTGATCAAGCTGCATCGATAAAATAAATTTCAGAAAACAGCCAGCCAAAAAACCTAGTATATATGCTGACATAAGAAACGTAAACAACCAACCTGAAACGGGTTAGGTGTCCCTTTTACTTCTTGCCCTTGAAATAGTGGCTTTAGAGTGAGAAGCTCAGCAAATATGCAACCCACAGCCCACATGTCTTCCCGTAAACAAAAAAGTTACAAAGAATTAGCGACGGCTTAAATATCTAATTGCAACTGCAAGTAGTATGATTTTAAAGGTTTGTGATATTTAGCAACATATGGTCCGATGAGATCTTACCTACGGCACTCGTATAATGTTTTGCCCCAAGGAGTAACTCAGGCGCACGGTACCAAATAGTTACCACAACCTGTAGTTTACAAATTAAAAAAATGAAACTTTACAAGAAGAAGAAAAGATGGTATTGACCAAATTTACGATAATTTATATATTTCTATGTTTTCCTCTTTTAATTGTCAATTAACATGTTTTGCCCAAAATATTTCTTACCCCGTTTTCATGCAGTGGTTTTAAGGGAGCTTGGTAAATTCTAGCGAGGCCAAAATCAGCAATTTTTACCACTCCGTGTTCTTCCCCATCACCCATTACCTGGTAATCAGAAGTTCCAAATAAATGAAAGACAGAGCTCGAGTTCAAAGTAAATAACAGACAAATTGCACTAAAATAACAGCACAAGCACATCAGGTTTAAAGATTATCATCACAAATATAATCGAGAGGTATAATGGCAACAGAAGAAAGAGGAGAAAAAAAATGAAAGAATGTTACCAAGATATTTGACGGCTTTAGATCTCGGTGGACGATCCAATTACTGCATAAAATTCCAATAGTGGAAGAGTTAACCAAACTCTTTTGGAATACATTCTAGACGTAAATAAGCAATTTATGCTGGAACAAAAAGAAAATCTACTTTCTCTTTTAAATTACTACAGAGAGTTCAAGAAAATGCTCCGCACAAATAAAGCTAGATAGAGATTTTGCTTTCAAAATTCCGGCGTTCCTCGTCACCATGGACACCATTTTTATGCAAGGAAGACAGCCACAAAATTCAGATTTAACAATTAAACGGAGCATTTCAAATTCATAGAAAATCCTATCATATATACACAAAGAATTCCACCCAAAAACAAGACCATGTTATCTGAATATAAAAACAAAACGGAAAAAACTGGAAGCCATTTCTTCTAGAAATCCCAAGATCCATTACATCCAAATCTACCAAGTCACCGCCATTTACACACCTATCTCTACATCCTACGCAATCATCAGAAAATAGATAAACATATGATTAACAACATTATATCCAGACTTTGGATAATCTTACTACATACTGAGAGCAAATTCTCCAGAGTTTGTTTCCAGTCAGGGTTGCAAAATATAGCTTTGATAGTAAGAAATGCAACTGTTCACGATAAGCCATTTAAGATTTTTGGACTGTGGAAATATATAACGCAATGTCCCTTCTCGGGATTCACAACCAGTTAATCTTATTTGGATCCAGTTAATGGTCCCATAAATGTGAGAGTAAAATTATATGTAGTCACACTAATTAAGCAAAAGACTCTTGAAAATAAACACAACCTGTGAAGATAATTAAGACCATTGAGAAGCTGCCACAATATCGACTTAACGGTGTACGGGTTGATCGCTTGGTTGACCTTGTCCCTGTGATGTCTGATGATTTCCTGGCACGATCCACAAGATCTCAATCATTTTATGCTACAGAGAGATTGATCGACATATAAACATGGAAGAGTAGAACTGCAAAAAGGGCTTAAAATAGTTGATGTTAAAAGGTTTACTCACATAAAGATCGTGCTCGGCATAGTCAAAAGCTAAATAAAGCGACATGTCTGCGTGATTGATGTGCACGTTCACAAGCTTTACCACATTCTCATGGGAAATCTCCCGAAGCAACTGCATAATCGAAAGCTTATTACTACGAAATTAAATATGAAGGAGAGGAAGGAACGGGAATAGTTAAAGACAAGAAATTTCAAGAAGAAACACTTGAAAAAAAACAGAAAATTAAGAGGATCAATTCAAATTGGACACACAAAAAAACACGGATTAACCTACACCAGAGACGATGAGCCCATCAAATTCTTCCGACCAATTACACACAAAAAAACACGGTAATAACAAGAATCATCATTCTTACCACACTTAAAACACACACACACTCCAGACCCAACCACAAGAAAAATGATATTTTTTTTCTTATTCTAGCCGTTCTAATAAACAGAGAATCCCCGTAAAATGAGCACGAACAGAGATACGTGTCCTATACAATAATACATACATTGCTGTAGAAAATCATGTAAAACGCAGAAACACCCAAAAAAATTAAAAAAATGGGGGTTTTGCAAATAACCATAATTTCACGAATCGCGGTGGGGGAAACGCCGTCGCCATCTTTGGACTGCTTGAATTTCTTGATGGCTATTGATTTAGAGCGGTTCGCCTTAATCTTCGCCAAGAAAACCAAACCGTATGTTCCCTCTCCGATTTTCCCAATCACATCGTATTGCTCGAGCCACTCCGGCTTACTGCTCGAATTGCCCGCCCTCCCATCCCCCATATATGCTCCACACCTGCTCTGAATCAATTTCTTCAATAAATTAATTAAAAAAAAAAAGAAATATCTCTGCTTTTTCTCTCAATTACAGTGTGTCGCAGTGGTATATGCTTTATTATGCTTCGGCGGTGAGGCTGCAGATAAGGAAATTACTGTGATTGCAGAATAAATTCCCTGAATTGAACAGCAAAATAAAAGTCGATTTTGCTTGAAGTTGAAGATGAAGTCGATAAATATTTAGCTGATTTCTATTGCTTTGTTTGGCTGCTCTGAATAATATTCAAAAACAATTTATTTTTTATTTTTATTTTTTAGAAGTTTTGTTAAGATTGTTTTGTATCAGTAGATGGGAAAAATACAGTTTTCATCCCTTAAGTTTGCACTAATTTCACATTTTGTCTCTCTTGCTTACAAATAACACATTTCGCCCTTCATGTTTCAAAAATGTAACACTTTTAGTTTTGAAGAAGACATTGCAATCTTTATTAGGCACTATTGGCCAAATGTGAAGGGAGAATAGTCCCTTCCGAACAGTCAGAAACAGAGATGGAAGCTAGTTCATGAGCCAAGCTATTGCCCCGTCTCTTAACAAAGGAAAAATTGCAAAAAGAAAAAAAACGAGCTTCAATAAAACATTCTTCTAAAATGGCTCCGTAGGATCTGAGCGAATGTGCCTTGTTGCGTAGAGCTTCCATAATTTGTAAGCAGTCCCCCTCTACAATTATAGATTGCCATTGACGATTACGGCTAGTGATGAGTGCTTGGAGGACAGCACGAGCTTCTCCATCAGATGGTCGGACCCTGCCCATTAACTTCCTCACCTTCCACCAGATGCATCTACCGGTACAGTCACGGGCCACCAACGAAATATTGTAGTAGTCCTGTCCCAAAGGAAATGCGGCGTCCACGTTAACTTTAAGGGTTCCCGTTGGTGGAGGCTGCCAGACTTCTTGGAGGTTAGGTGATGGAGGTTTGAGGGGGCGAAATTGTGCTTCATTGAATGTTTGGAGATAGACACTGCACCAACCGATAATATCTGCTAATTTGAAGCACTCCTCCCCGTGAAGCTGCCGATTTCTCATTTCCCAGACTTTCCAGCACACCACCACCGCCAAAAGAAAATACTCTTTAGCCAACGTTTGCTCCAGATATTCCAACCAACTCCAGAACGGATTGCCATCATCGAAATGGGACAGATGAAAAGGGGCCTGTTTCCAGAGTTGTCTAACGCCCTCACACCCAAAAATTGCATAGAGGGTCGTCTCAGGTTTATGTCCGCTTTTAGTTGTTACCATCAATTTTTCGTTACCATCAATTTTTCGTTAAAACTAATGGAATCAAGTATGTGCCCATCACTTCCTTAACTGACGGACTAACATTAAATTGACGGAAATGTCCAAAAGTGTTAAATTATTGAAACATGAGGGATCAAATGTATTTTTTATGAACATGGGGGACCAAATATGAAATCAGTGCAAACTTGAGGGATAAAAACTATAGTTTTCTATTAGTAGAAAGGGTAAATTACAAACACCCCCCTGAGGTATGGTCAAATTACAAAAACCCCCATCTTGTTTGGATAATTACATCTACCCCTCAACTATGATTTTTTCTTACACCTCCACCCTTATGGTGCCAAATTCAACATAATCATCTAGAATCCGTGGAATGTGCTCTAGTTTGTACTCGTTTTGTGTAAAAATACAGTTTTCGATGCACCACAAACTGATATATACAAGCTAAAAATCACATATTATGATCATCTTGCTTCATAAT